GATTCATATTGCACTATCCAAAAGTCTATGCTGCTTATTTATTCACGGTATATTACAGTCTAGGTGCGGGTGCAGCAAAGATGATACGCTATGTACGCATGCGGCAGCAATTAGTTGTTAGTTTAAAATCTTCAAATCCCCGCTGGGCGACGAATGAAAAAATTGAGAGAGCGTATGCGACTAATTGTGTTCTTTTTGCGTCCTTTTTATGAAATATATGTGTGAGTACATATATAACACCTGACGATGGCACCACTGAACAATGACCGATACACGCTGGCTGTTGTCAGACTGGTGACCAATTGTGTTTATTACTCATTTCACTGGCATTAAAATACATCGCTTTTACCCTCAAACGTTCAAACGCGCAAATTTGGTTGCTTGTTAAGTACTGAAATAAATGTTAAACCGAATGTGGTTCTTTCATGTAAGTGTGGCATAAGTTTCAGTGACTTTTGTGGTCAAGTGGTGGGGGGCCTTTCCCCTACGCTGCTCTTCCCCCAATGGAAACCGACTTTGGGGTCTTCATCAGGAACGCGTGAGGGAAATCATGCTGCTTTCGGCGTTTAACACGTAAACTGTAGGTTGCTTGGGATTTGGGATTTTTCATCTGGCTTGGATCACTCGGCCGTCGCATCGTGAACGTGTGACGTAGGACTTTTGCCGAGAACACCCGAAGCAGAGCGCACACGACAGAGGTATAAAACGCTTGTGTTGGGGAGTCGCCGAGTAGGACGAAGTGGGCAGAGTTCATAGACAAGGTAGAACATGCTTGTGTAAAATACCCACGGGAGGCATGGAGAGGGTAAGCCCTCGCGCGGTTATCCCACGATTCTGGCATCACTGACATTGCGTCGCTCGCGTGCATCGGCTTTAAACGTTACGAGCAGTGATGCCAGAATCGTGGAACTTGATTCCCCCACTACGACCTACCGGCGTCTCCCACTTTACTTCCACCGTTCTGACACACAAGCATACCTCTAGCTTTGTCCGTGTGCGCTGCACGTTCGGGTCTTTCTGCCGACTACCCTGCGTCACCTGGCAACGTAACAGTAAGGAAACTTTTGAGACCCTGTTCGAGAATCTCACTGGGCCGAAAATCACGTTTCTACGTATTACAATTTTTATATTTCCATTATTAAGTAAGTATATTAAAATTTATTCATTAAACATTTTACTATATAATAAAGTACAACACATTTTAAATTGAGATAGTTCGACTTCTACAAATTTATATACTGTTTTACTGGATATGAAAATATTTACAATCGTATAATATACTTACTTATGGATATACTTAATAATGGAAATATAAAAATTTAAAATATCTGGAAGTTATTTTTTCACGGATAAAACGTCGAAAATATCATTCTTCGATTTCTAAAACTACGGCGCGCCCTACCAAAAATCTCAAAAAAATTGAGAACGTTTTTGAATTTTCACAACTAAAATACTCAACCTGAAAAATCAGAAAAAAATCATCAATACGTAGAAACGTGATTTTTGACCCAGTGAGATTCTCGAACAGGGTCTCAAAAGTTTCCTCACTGTTTACGTTGCCGGGTGACGCAGTGTAGTCGGCGGAAAGACCCGAACGGGCAGCGCACACGACGAACAGATCTAGAGGTATGCTTGTGTGTCAGAATGGTGGAAGAAAGGGGGAGACGTCGGTAGGTCATAGTGGGGGAACCAAGTTCCACGATTCTGGCATCACTGGTTTCGAGAACGTCACGCTCAACATTATAGAGTTAAAATAAACTTATTAAATTGTTATATTTCATTGTAATGTGCGGAATATCAAAAATAATTTCATCAGTTATTCTTCTGAAAAAATTTTACGACGCTACGTGTGAATGATCGACGGTGAGTGATTTTACCTTATGGAATTCGGCAACTTTCTCGAGGACAGAGTTTGTATCACGAACGGGAGCAGTCTTCTCCTGTTTCTTCAAGGAACTATTTCTTGAGTTGCACTCCGATGGCGACTCTACAATAGTGTCGATTGAGATCTTCGCGATTTGCCGCGGGAACGACAAGTTTTCGGGAACGGGATTCCTGTTACGTGGCGGTTCGAGGCTGCCTTTGCGTTCATGCTGAGGCTGTAAACAAATTTGTATAGAAGATTATTACATCTGAGTTATATCAATGAAACATGAAACAATTTAAGAAACAATTGAAGAATTGAAGAGCATAGAGAATTTTAATGACTTTTTGTTTGATAAATAAACAATATTTAATCTCTATGAGACTGCAAATTAATTTTATAAATGGTATAGATCATTAACAAAACATCTAATTTATCTATTTCAAAACTCAACAGACTTTCAAAACATAAAAAAGAGATTTAGAATACAATCTGAGAGAACATTTTTATTTTTAACATAGATACGTAGTTTTACGTTACCAAACTATACAATTTGGATTAAAATAAGTGGTGCAAGTCAATTTAAATAAAATTGTAGTTTTACAATTAAACAGATTTATTAGTTATAGTTGAATGAAATTGTATTTAATTATTTATTTAGAAAAGTGATACGTTTGAAAATTCGAAGTTTTCATACCAATACATAAAATATGCACACTATTTAGGAAGGAAAATTTTATGACACGTAAGAAATTGTTACTACTTTTTTTATTAAGTAGAAACGGATGTATCGTCTGGCATGGTTTTAGTAATTTATATCAATTAAAGATTTCATACTGGTGTACTTATTCATATCATTGTGATAAATTTGACTTGATTAAAGCGCGCTGAGAGACTACAACATCAAAGTTATGCTCCTCTAAGTCAAATATGGACTGAAATTATATGTATTATTATCTACTAGTACATAGTCCTTTGTGAATCACATGATCATCTGCATTGGAATTCTTTGGAATTCTAATTTACAAACAATACAGGACTATAGGTAATATTTAAGAGCTTTAAACGTGTTGCAAAAGTTCTAGTTAGCTGCTAATAATTTGTTAGAAAGTAGTTTCTTAATATTACTAAGTATAGTATTGTAAATTTGACAATGTTGAACTCGAAACGAAATGGAATTAAACAATGCCAGACATTAGAAACATGATAAATATCTGTACTTGATTGATTTGATTCCACTGTCCAACAAATTTTAATCTTTGTTCTGTTTTGCAATATCCACTGGGTGATCCTTATAGACTTTCTTGACCTAAACACGAATCCACAAACAGAATTGCTCTATCATCTTGAGTTTTTGAAAAACACGAATTTTTGTAAAAACACACGATTTTGGGCAAAATGAAGTATTACGTGAAAACTCAAAATGCTAGAAAGTTCAGTTTAGTCTGAAATGATAGAGGAGAATTTCCTGATTATACTGGTGTCTGTGTTATAATTATGAATAGTTATAAATAGACGTCAAAGTTTAAAAAAGAGTCGCTACGCGTACTTTCTACGCAATATTTTCGCATTTTTAAGGAAAGTTCTTTATCCTGCATAAATTCGCCATACAGTATCGGATTCTGCAGACATTTCTGAAGAAGTAACTATCCAGATAAATGATCAGACCGTTTTGTATTCGGAGAGGTCGAGAAAATATCCGTTGGGAATGTCTGTGCAGGCTTTGCCGCCACGCAGCCATTAAAGGGAGCATTCCACCAAGTACAGCGTATCTATTATAGAGACTTCTACAGGCAATCGACACCGATAATATGTACAATCTAATTGGCACGCACTTTTTATCTGTACATATAATGTTTGATGTTTCTCATGCATTCTTAGATACGTACCACGAAATTGTAAAGAACTTCTCTTGATCACTGTAAGTTTTAAACAATTTCGGTGTTCAGTATATGAGTATGTATGACTTGTAAATGTGAAACCATTAAAAAGTAAATATGTATTTGTTTTTATATACAGTGGACTCTAAGTATATTGCCACGCGAGGCTCTTCCGCTTCACACGTATTTTCGAGTACACAAATAGCACTCTCACCACGTTGCGTACGCCGGCGCACCAGCACGATCCAGCTTTTGCGCAGGCGCTGAGGCCCAGGCTATGACGACGGAACTTAGCATGGAGGAGGCTCTGAACTCATTCCCATTTTACTCCCCTACAGCCCCGACCATGCCAATATAGTTAGAGTCCACTGTATACATACATATGTATATGTATACATATACTAGTATAATTAGGAAACTCTCCTCTATCGTTTCAGACTAAACTGAACTTTCTAGCGTTTTTAGTTTTCACGTAATACTCCATTTTTGCCAGAAATCGGGTGTTTTTACTAAAATTCGTGTTTTCCAGAAACTGAGGGTGATAGAGCAATTGTGCTTGTGGTTTCGTGTTCAGGACGAAATCACCTAACGTGTTTAGGTTTGCCTAAACATTCGTCTGGGTACACGCTGCGGTCGAAATGGATTCTACTATTTGTGACATATTTATGAGCTCGCATTGGGGACACGGAATTTTCTTAAGCACTTGGGTAAGACTGGAAAATAACAATTTCTGTTTAGGATTGGAAACAGGCCAGTCGTACTTTTTCTCAATAGCAACGGAAATATCGTAAATTCGCACGCGACGAAGAGATGATCCCGAGAATTTGTATCAACATCCCGGGACAAGGGACCCTTCATGCAGCGTCCTGCGAGGCCTAAGATTTAGAACTAGAACGCTAATACATATAGTTTTTCTTCCGGACCAGAACCGTTACAACACTCACCGTGAGCATACTGAACCTTTGAGATTAACAAATTGTTAGAACTTGTACTTCAACCGTAACGAACTTTATATGTATTTTCTACTTTATCTTTTATCTTTCTTTTTCTTAGAATAATTTGATGTGAATTGATTCGTAGCAAATAATAAGATGTAGAATACTGGGCAAATGTATTCCTACACCCTTTAAAACACCCTTCTAAACTTTTTTAAAATTGGTCCAAATAACTTAAGTTCTTTTGTAAAAGTTAGGGACGTTAGTTTACTAAATGATGTGTAAAAATAATTGAAAAAGTTGCAATTAGTCGGAATCGCGAAGAAAATAGTAAAGATCGTTTTTTACAACTTTGTAATCTGAGGCTATAATGAAAATTTAATAAATACATATCGAAGATTTATGTTATATAGTTGTTCCGTCATACAGGTACAGTGCTTCATAGCAGCGGCTATTATTTTACAACAGAACTGAAATTTAGCTATTCGACCTTCCGTAATAATGTACGCGTTTGTTTCTTGTCCGTTTCATTTCAATAGCGTACCTTTTTAATCTTTTCGACACCCTACAATAGACGAAGGTTCCAACATTTGGTCGGCAGCCGGTCCCGGTCGTGTTGTACCACCGAGGCGAAGAACAACTTGGAGCGGTCAAGCCAAACTTGGCCACGTGATTTTAATTATTTGCAGGCGTACGTTTTGTTCTAAAGGAACCTTTTCCTTTTCCTTGCCAATAGAAATTCCTGATTTTCGAAAATGGTATTGACAAAGCATATCGCCAACGAGGGTGAAGCGTGACGTCAGAAGCGCGCCCGAACTTTTGTAAACATCAGACTCAAACCAGAACTCACCCGGTGAACATCACACACACACGCACACAGACACAAAATATTGTAAATACAGTCATTAAGAACCAATCAAAGTGTGCTTTATTTTTGGTTTCACTTCTAAGGATTGTGTAACGGTTCGGCGATTAAGCGCGAGCATTGCGCGACCAGTTATATACACGTGGAAAATTTCATCAAAATCGGTTAACATTGCTACGAGATACAAACAATTCAAAATGTTGAAAATCACAGTTGTTTCCGACTTTCGACCTACAAATGTAGTAAATCTAATGATCCTTAGATCTTTTGATGCCTGTCGATCGTTTCTGTATGAACCGATTTCAATGAAAGTGTCAGTATGTATATAACTAACATAAATCTTCGATATGTATTTATTAAATTTGTGTCGAAAAGATTAAAAAGGTACACAATTGAAGTCAAACGGACAAGAAATAAACGCGTACATTATTACGGGAAATTGAATGGCTAAATTGTAGTTTTGTTCGAAAGTTATAACCGCTGCTATGAAGCAGTACGAATGTTAGCAAGTTACAATACTGCCAGAATATTAAGAATCTGTACACAAATGATGGGATATAAATCCAATTAATAAAAATAAATTAATTAAACCCGTATCTGTGATGGAACGTTCGCGAGTTCGGCACGATGAAGTCGAATCTTAACCTCGCACCTTCATTATTTTCACGTGCACGCATTCCCTCTGAAGGAGAGGTCTGGGTTAGGTTTGTAACCCGAAATCTACAATTTAAATAACCCATGTGCTATTAGAAATGAATTTTAAATTAGAAATAATAATTAATACTTGTTTTTAATGCACAATTTCCTAATTGTATAAAGACAAATGTTTAAAAGCTTTTAACAAATATATAACATACATAATAATACAATGCAGTTTTTCCTTAGCGTTATTTATTTATTAATTTATAATGTATACATTTATAGATTCAGTTCATAATTTTTATCATGTTATTTTTTTCTAATTTTGTTTCTTTTATTTATTGCATTACATTAAATGTGTTACGCTTTTATTTGAATTTTTATAACGTAAAAGGAAAGTATCATGTTTTACTATTAAAAATTAGGTATGAATAATATATCGAACGTTATATCCAACACTGGGACAGCTAAGTTAATCACTAGGACATGCCGTAAATAACGTAAATTCCGTCCAATAACTCGGACAAATAAACGCTTTTAGAAGTTTTAGATATTATTAAAAACGGTAATAGGAGCGGTTGTACAGCGACTCTGTTGTGAAATCACTTTCGTTACCCGGAACGGTATCTGAGTGGTGAACAACCGCTCCTGCACGAGCCGGTTTGCTTATTTTTCCCTCCCTGGATTAGGAGAAGCGCCAGACCGGTAACCGGGACGCGCTTCTAAAACCCAAGTAAGCGGTTGTAGTACCGCTTCACAGATGCCCATTTATAGGGGGTAGCGGTTCGCAGAAAGTAACCGATGGTAGATACTTCGAGCGTTTCTGTTACTGAAGCGATTTCACGATTCAAACCCTAAACTGAGTGGCGCTACCGCTTAAAGAGCGCTTACACACCGCTTCGCAACGAGCGCTTCG